GATGCAGACAAACACCATGAGCTGATCCTCCTATGACTCGCCTGACTCTGGCGCTTTCCCGGTATTCAACTTTCCGAAGAGGTTCTATCTGATAAACGAATCCTCAAGTATTCTCCGGCACCAATGTGAAATGCAGTATCAAATTCGGACCGTAGTCATTTGCTTTTCAAATCCCTAACTTTTGCGTGAACTGCCCTTTACGGGTTTTCAATTCACCGGGATACCCTTTTTTGCCGAAGCCGCCCAGTGTAGGTTTTCGACTTCGCGGGTGTACATTTTTTCAATTTTATCCCTAACTTTTCCCCGAACCTTTTATTCTGTTTTTGGTTCGCCAGGATGCCCCATTTTTGCCTGGACTCTCCTTTTTTGTCCAGCGGGTCAATTTCAAGCAAAGTATTTTTTAACTGCGTCTGAATTCACAGGCGATGTAAAGTCCTCACCGTCCATGGTGGACAACAACAAAGCTCCTCCTGAAAAGACTTTTCTGACAACGTATGGCCCTTCGTAGTTGGGGGTCCACTTGCCCCTGTGATCTGCCTGTGGCGGGAGAATCCTCTTTAGCACAAGGTCGCCCGTCTGAAAGCTCTGAGGATGTACCTTTTTATCATAACCTTTCTTCATTCGGCTCTGGTACAAACGACCATATGCTAGAGAAGCTAACCTCTTCTCATCCATTAAACTCAGCTGATTCAACCTGTCTCTCGCCCATTCTGCCTCGTCCAGTTGGACATCTCGTAATACCCTCAGGGAAGGAATCTCAACTTCCAGTGGTAACACTGCTTCCATTCCATATACCAACGAGAACGGGGTTGCCCCGGTTGATGTGCGTACCGTCGTACGATAACCGTGCAAAGCAAAAGGTAGCATCTCATGCCAGTCCTTATAGGTCACCACCATCTTCTGAACAATCTTCTTTATGTTCTTATTGGCCGCATCAACAGCGCCATTCATCTTGGGTCGATAAGGGGAAGAGTTGTGATGCTCGATCTTAAAACTCTGACACAGCTCCTTCATCATTCTGTTATTTAAGTTCGAACCGTTGTCGGTAATTATCCGCTTGGGGATTCCATATCTGCAAATGATATCTCGCTTGATAAACCTGGCTACCACCTGCTTGGTCACATTTGCATAGGATGTCGCTTCCACCCATTTGGTAAAATAATCGATTGCTACCAAAATGAAACGGTGTCCGTTAGATGCCGTCGGCTCGATCTTTCCAATCATGTCGATTCCCCACATTGAGAATGGCCACGGTGATGACATCACGTTCAGAGGACTCGGGGGCACATGGATCTTATCTGCATAGATCTGGCACTTATGACACTTCTTCGCAAACTTGAAACAATCGGTTTCCATAGTTAGCCAATAATAACCTGCCCGCAGTAGCTTCCTCGTCATAGCATGCCCACCAGCATGCGTACCAAATGTACCCTCATGTATTTCCTCCATGAGCAGCTTCGCCTCTTTCTCGTCTACACAACGTAGTAGCACCAGCCTCTTTCTCGTCTACACAACGTAGTAGCACCAAGTCGTGATTTCTCTTGTATAGGACACCGTCTGGATTCAGATAGAAATTACCCGCCAATCTCCTGAGAGTCTTCTGATCGTGACTGGATGCCCCAGCCGGATATTCTTTGTTTTTCAGGAAATTATGGATGTCAAAATACTAGGGTTTACAACTGCACCCTTGTACCGCCGTTGACACTCTTCAATGAGAGACTCAACCCATGGGGATACTTTCGATACAAGTAAGTCATTCCCTTTACTCGAACCAAAGGCTCATGATAGCATTGTTGATAGATTTTTCAACTAAGGAGCATTGAACATTGTGGAACTTTTTCTTTCTAGAGCAACACCTTTGTGAGAGACACACCATATACACACCCAAAACCTTAAGGTGATAGGTGTATGAGTTCTCTCACTTATAAATGCTCAAGTCACCACATTTCTATCCAATGCGGGACTATTATCCACATTATTCACACTTGTTAATGCTTAACACGCACACTATCAAATTTTAATGGCTCTGATTATTATTTTATTATTATTTTATAATATTAAAATATAAAACGTGGAGTCAAATTTTGGTTTTTTACGAGCAATCATCATTAAAGTAAAAACAACTCAAATCAACTATAAATTTTTTAAATCCTACAAATCACTTTGGGTTCACAAAAAGTATATTAGTTTATCAATTTAATTTACTCTCATTAAAAATGCTCTAAGAGCAACTTTAGTGCAGGGTTGTTAAACCAAAATTTTGTATAGCTTACGTTAGTAATAAAGAATTTGCATTATAGTAGAGCTGACATCGCATCTAAGTGAACTAAAATTTAGTTCTCATTATCTATATAGTTAACGTTAACTATGTGAAATATATTATAATATTATTTATTTAATTAATAAAATATTTCAACAGCATTAAAGTAATGACATGATATTTGAAAATAGTGGGGTCAACTTTTGGTTTCTTATAGACAACTATCATTAAAGTAAAAACTACTCAAATCAACTATAAATTTTTTAAATCCTATAAAACACTTTGGACTCACAAAAAATATCTTAGTTTATCCATTTAGTTTACTCCCATTAAAAATGCTCTAAGTAATGTATATAAAGATCACTTTATCCACTCGTCTTTCTTTTTTTCATGTACCTTCCCCCTTTACTAACCACACAAACTTACAAGTTTAATGCTTTATATATATATATATATATTTCTAACTTTTTTAAGTATAGTTATATAAATACTTCTGATTCTTAAGTTACAGTTATATATATACTTTCTGTTTTTTCTTAAATTATAAATTATAGTTATATATGTTTTTGGTTTTATAGATTAAAGTTATATATGCTTCTAAGTTTTAAGCTATTGTGATATATACTTTTCGTCATTTTTAAGTAATAGGTATATATATTTACTTCTTGTTATTTTTAAGTTATAGTTATATATATTTACTGTTAGTTATAAATATTTAAGTTATAGTGATATATTTTCAGTTTTTTATTATATATATATATATATATATATATATATATATATATATATATATATATATATATATATATATATATATAGTTAGGTTTTTCTATTTGAGATTTTATATATATATATTTTTTTTAATTTTTATGAGTCAGGTTTTGAAACAATTCATGTATTTTTCAGGTAGCAAAATAGTCAATAATCACACAACATCACACAATCATACAAGAATTTTTAGTATTGAGGCACCTCAATACAGTCAATAAGCCATTTAACTTTTAGTATTGAGGCACCAACATCACAATCATACAAGAATTTGGTGGTTTGCAGCTTGACTATGGCTTGGCTTGGCATAGATTATATGGGGAAAGAAGCAATGGTGATGTCAGGCTCGAGCCATTAAGCAACTTGGATCTGATGTGAAACTTAGATAATGCTCATATTATTTTGTAAATTGTCTTTTTTTTATTTGTATTATGTAATATGTGTATGGTGTATGTAATAATATAGTGTAATATGATCAAAACTGTGTACTGAATTTTGTTGGAGAAATGAATTATTGGAATGTGATATAATTCATGAAATGTTTTAATAAAAAGCTTCTTTTCTTTATCTTAATTTAAATTTTGTCTCATACTTTTATTTTATACCAAATAGATAAAAAATGTCTTTACATAAAGACAAATTCTAAATCAAATGGTAAAAGTAATGAATAACAAAATTAAGTTTTGATAAAAGAAAATGAACAACTTTAAATGAAAAGTCAACAAGAGTTAAAAGTAAAACTTTTGACTTTTCCCCTAAACATGCAAGAAGAACACATGACTAAAACTAAGATAACCAACTTTGATCTCTCAACTTCAATTAATTGTGTGCAAAGGAAATGACTAATGCAAATTAAATACTGATGAAGTATGGATGAAAGATCAGATAAAAAGATTCAAACTTTTGACTATTTCCTTCTAACTTCTATGCATTAGTGGCTAATGATTCCACAAAAGAGCAGAAGAAATAAAAGTCAACTTTCACTGTTATTTTATTTGATCACTAAGGCATGAATGATGAATGAGTTCCATTAAGGTCAGATGAAATGTCGAAATTTTTACTTTCATCTCAAACCCTGATGAATGATTTAATTGATGAAATCTATGATCAAATGGAATGATCATGTCATGATGATGCAGGTGAAAAAAGATTCAGGGTCAAATTTAAGAAATGACAATGCTAATATTATAAATGACAATGTTTGAGATATTGTTGGAGTAACGCCTATAGCAGAGATGAGGATATATTCATTGGGTGTGTGGTTTGGACATATAGAGATACGACTAGTAGATTTTGTTGCAAGGAGAGTAGATAATAGAAGAATAATCAACAACTATAGATTTAAAAAAATATCTAAAAAAATTATAAGAGAAACTATTAAAAAAGATCTTGATATAAACAAATTGGATAGAATTATGGTCTTGGATAAAAGTATGGTTTTGGATAGAACATTATGGTAGAAATTTAATTCATATAACCAACCACACTTAATGAAATAAGGTTTTGTTGTTGTTGTTGTTGGTCATATTAAAAAAAATGCTAAATTTTAGTTTTGATCCCTCAATTTTACCTAATTAACAAAATCAATTTTTAATCAAAATCAATTTTTAATCAAAATCAATCTCCGTATTTTAAATTCAAACTGTTTTTATTCCTCTCACTCTTTTTCATAAAAAACCGATGAGATATTCGTTTTTCATCTATAAAGTTCTACAATATAGTTATATAAAATGATTTGTCATCACATAAAACTTTCATTTCAAAAAAATAAAAATATAGTTAATTTTAAGTGAAAAAAAAGAAAGAAAAAGAAGACTAAAATTGTTTAAATTTTGTAACAATGAAAAAAAAAACAAAAAAACTAATACAAATTAAAAATTCAGGGTCCCACCTAGTAAAGCTATAGTGAAAATTTAACGAACTCTACATGATGGTTATGATTCTTTATACAAATACATTACTTGAGAAATCTTTATGAAGAACTTGCCTCTTCAACACTTGTTGAAGTAATCTCAGACTTCTCATTAACAATAGAAGGATCCCATTTTTCCCATTCTATAACCTCTCTACCATATCTAAGAGCATCATCGATCGTATCAGGTTCCAATCCAGTAACCAAAGAAACGAATAGAATTCTTTCTGTGAAAGAATGGAACAATCTCTTAAACTTGATAGCAATGTATTGAAAAGCACTTTGAGCTAATGATGGCATAGTTCCATTGTTACCATTACCACTTCTTTTTTTATTATGACTTGTAACTGGATTGAAGTCAGAAAACCATTCACACTTTTTTAGTGGAACATGTTCAATCTTTTCCTCTAGAAGATCAAATTTGGTGAGTATCAAAACAAATTTCTTCTTCTTGAAACTCGGATGATCGATGATGTTTTCAAATAGGTTTTTCGATACCAACATTTTGTTTGTAGACACTCCTTTGCTGTCTACAATGTACTCGTCATAGTCGGTTAAGGAGACTGAGAACAAAATGACATCGGTGTCTTCGAACATCTCCAACCACTTGCAGTTTGCTCCGAGGCTTTTAGGATGTACTCTGATGAGTCGATATCTGTAAGCCGGGCATAAAAGTAGGGTAAGAAAGCTGTTGGAACAGAAAAACCATATACTTATGCGACAAATCTGACCTGAGAGAAGAATCATGTTGATAATCGGGATGCAAAGACTCCTCTCTGCTTGACTTTGGAAATGAAAATTCCATTGATGTGAGGCTGTTCAGTAACGACATCCCCTCGGCATATAAGATGTCCATATCAGATGGTTCGTAATCTATCTTGGAAATTTCAATAGCCTGAATTCATTGAAAAAGAGCGTAACACGGTAAGAGCATTGATCCAGTGATAATTCCGAAATGAAATGTTACACAAGTATATTCTTACCCTGTCTAGAAAATAGTTTGCACTTCTAGGTAGCGTTTTTAGTTCATTTCTTCTGTTGTATGTCGCCTGAATCGCCTCGTTCCTCCACAACTCCTCTACCATTGGCCCATATTCGCGTATAGCAGCTGGAAATATTGCATCCATGTTACCCGACAGCATGCATTTGAGTAACCAATCTGAGAAACCTTTCAGTCTTTGGCCAATTGAATAGGGTGTTGTATAAACATTTTTGCCAGATGATGTGGATTCATCCAAAGACAATCTTTTCCTATTTTCTAGCAAACTCTCTTCTTCAAAATCTTGGCGCGCCTCCAGAAGTATACCAAGGTAGGTAAACAGGTTGCTTTGAATCACCAACTTGATATTTTGAAGCTCATTTTCGGAGAAAGGAGCATTATATAAAAGTTTGGCCTAAGATAAAAAGATTCAATCTTTAGTAACCGAAAATGGAGGTATTTTGAATAGAAGAGATGAAGAAGTTATTTTCATGAAGCAACCAACCTGTTTAAATATAGTGCATGCTCCAGAATTGACACAACCGACGAGTAACATATTTTGAAAGATTTTTTTATGAAGGCCGAGTTTCTTAGCTGTTTCAACTTCATCGTTAAGAGATGCAGACTTTGAAGGAACTGGCAGTGACAGAATAGCACAAGCAACCTTTGTTCCAACCTGCAAAAAGGAAACGGTTAGTACATCAACCCGACATCAAAAGAAAACATGTACAAAAAATGCAAACAAAGACACATAATATTTGACCATAAAGTTCAGTCAATTGCGTCTACGTTTCTGACTGACGATCAGTCGTCGTACCTTTCTATTAGTCAGGCTTACGGTTTACAAGGAAAACCAAACTTTAAGAAAACAACGATCACCTACCTTGTCCCATATGCGTCCCCTGTCGTTCTTTTGTCCTTCTTCGCGGTACGATCCATCGGGACTAACCCAAAAGTGTGGAGTTCCTTCGCATTGTACTCCTGCCATCTGCAAACAACAATTGTTAGTAACATTATTGGTTTAACTTTAACATTCTCTAAAAGAAGAAGAATATTATAGTTTCCGACATAACAACGACCTTTAGTATCAACATCTCTTTTTTAGTAATCACACGATCATTTATCATCACGTTTGTGTTTCCGTGGCTTGCATTTTTCTCCAAACGACCGCCAACGTCCAACTGGGGGCTGATAATTTCACAAGGTGGTTGACCTTTCTGTATAATCAAGCATTCTAGCTTTAGGATAAACAGTTTAATTAAGCATCTATTCAATAAACACGCATCATATAAGAGGTTATTCCATATTTAAAGCAAGAATAACGATGAACTTTTTGTGAAGTCTTTATAAACAAATCCCAGAAAGCTTATCGAAATAAGTTACAAGACTAAGTTGAGCTTAGATTTTTCACCTTTCCCCAAAATCCAGAAGCTTTATCATACCAATAAGATCCCGGTTTAAGATCTTTCGGCGGATGATCACAATGAAGCAACAACTTCAGTTGTTCTCGATTAAGTCTTTGCGAGTTAACTTGAACAAGTTCAGGTGGAATTTGATTAGCTTCACAAAGCCTTTCAGCTTCCATAATTTGATCCACAATAGTCTCAGACAACAACTGTTTCATCATCCTAGAACATTTACCAAGCTTCCTTCTTTTACTCTCATCAATTCCATAACCAATACAACCGACGCATTTCCTCCCTTCCGGCATCGATCCCATTGCTCTTATCACACAGTATCTACAATACTTTGCATTACAAACAATACAAATCTCTCTCTCAGTTAAACTATTCCCTTTAAGACACTTATAACAAGACCCTTTTTTTCCTGCTCTAACTGCATGTGCCTTCACAGGTACACTTACATTGCGAGAATCAAAAAACTCGTCACTTACGATTTCTACCACGCAATTCGATTCAGGGTCACAGAATGTAACCGCTGAAGGATGTTTGACATGTTTTGTTTTAACTGTTTCTTCTTCTTCTTCACTTATTGAACAAATCTCAGAAGTCCTAAACCCTATACCTGAACCAGAATCCGATTCTTTTGTATCAGAATTTGTAGCAACATCATCAACAACTCCATTCTCATTCTCATTCAAATCAACATGAACATGAACATGAACATCACTTTTTGATGCTTCAATTTCAACTACATGAGATTCTAAATTAGGATAAACAGTAGAACCTGAAGTCGTTCTTTTGTGTTTGAGCTTATTTCTGTGATGAAGTTTACCAAGTGGTTGAATAACAGGTACATTGAAATCATGAGAAAGAGAAGGAGCTACAGATGCAATTGGAACTTGATCAATTTTGAAAGTAGGGATTTCAGGGATTGAATGATTAAGAGGAGGACCAGCGTAAACAACAGCAAAAGAATATTCAAAGTTACTACTATCACTAATGCTATCTTCTGTTTCCATAGGAGGAACAGAAGAAGTTCTTAACTTTCTTAAAAAAGAAACCATTTTTATCAACAACACACAAAATTTGAAAACAAACCCAAAATAGAATTCACTGATTCACATCAAAAGAACACTTTTTTGAGAAAACCCATGAAATAAAAAATGTAACAGTAGAACCCCATGCGTTGAAAAAGATGAAAGAAGCAAATTCTCAAAAACAAAATTGGATTGAAGTGAAGAAGAGAAAGATGGAATAAGAAATTGGTGAGTTGACCAAAGTGGATGTGGTTAGAGAAAATTAAGGTAACTTGTTTAAGTAGTGGGACGTGTTCCAAACGTTTGAATGGAAACTAGGAGGAAAATGCTTAGAATGTTTCAATTTTCAAACCGCCGTGTATTTCAATTTCCATTTGAAAAAAAAATGTGCTAGAAGAATAAACGCATTCTCTAACGTGTCATTGATTTGGTTCGCTTTCTCTTTCATGATGGAAAATAATGTTAATTTGTATAACAACGTTAAGAGTTGGGTGTTGTTGCATCGTTAAACACAGATTAGGATTAGATGCTGTGTTATTATTGTTTGTCTTATGTTTCTCGGTTGTTGGTTTAATATCAAACGATTTAACTTTAAAATATATTTCTTCTTTAAAATTTTAAATAGAAAAATTAAAATATAGATTATTATTTTCTTTTATCAAACGATTGAGATTGTGTGAGACTGTGTCAATTCATAACCATTTTTGTATATAGTCTGAGTCTTTGAAATATTTGGTCAAAATATTACTTTTATTTTTTTTTTAAAGTTGAAATCTTGATAATATTTTATGAGAGAAAATCGTGTCTTTAAGTCAAGATGGAGTAGTATTTTTTAAACTTTTTGTTTTACAATAAATAAAAGCATATATGAGCAAAGTGAAAACGAAAAAGAGAATTTTAAAATATATATTGTTGTAAATTTTGTTGCGAATTATCACAAAATTTAATACTTATCGTAAGGTAAAGAACAATATCAATCAAAATTAATGATATTCAGTAATAATAATCCATACACAGATGATATAACAGAATAAGGTAAGAAAAAATCGAAGGTTTGTTTATCCAATTCGATCAAACGATCTACTCTGGGGGAGAAAGCAGCTCTCCAATTCATTATACATAGAAAGTTGTTACAAGAGATTACGAATGAGTTAAAATAGTGTTCACCTTCAGGTTCCCTAGAACAACCCTGAAGACGCCCAAGAACAACCTTATTTTCTATCCAAGTGTTTCCCTACCTCTCCAACTCTCAATATATGAATCACTCAAACCCAAGGTGTAATCCAAGGTTTTTTTTGTACATAGCTGAATCTCTATGCTATACCTTTAAACTCTTGATCTCCATTGTTGGTGAAAACTCTAAGATTGTCACACAACAAGCATATAAGAGGTACATATTTATAATAGCAAATATCCAACAAACAAAGAAAAAATCACATGGATCCATGGACCGAATCGAAAAAGCTCAAAAATACTATTCACTGTACGGACGTCACTATTCACTGACCAATTTTTTTCTCGACTTTTCGTCTGATTTTCGCGGTAAATGAGATCTCCAAAATATATTTTCTTTCTCTTCATCAACAAAGATTTTAAGACACATTTACAACAATCTCCACCTTGACTTTAAACCGTGTTGATACCAATTTAACAATCAACAACATTATTGCTCTCTACCATGTTGAAACTTTAATCAACTTCAAGCAACCTTTGATTCTTGATGTCGCAACTTATATCCACTTGTTCCCAATTACCCTTTTCTGCCTAGGTAATTTAACAAGCCTACAAGTATGATTTTTCAACAACCCTTGACTCCACCAGTTTTTAAATGCCTCCCTGAAGGTTTTTCTTCTTTTATTTTGCAGTCCTTCAGCCACATTAAAAACATAATATCCAAGGCTAGCATAATCGTCCCTTTGAGATGCTGCAATATCCCTCATTACCTTATCATGAGTCAAATGATAATCAGAGATCTCTGTAACCATTCCCTCACTACTACTTGCATCTATAGTAGAAAATTCCACCTCAAACTGAGTTTTCTCTGTTATAGTTTCTCCCTTTGTTTTCACTATTCTTCTTCTGAAGAAATTCTCTACCAACCAATTAAGTTGTTTTAACCTAATCTCTTCCCCAAAAACTCAATAGCAACTCAGCAGTAACATGCATTTTTATTCCTTGATTTTTGCAAAATTCATTGTACTCCTCCGAAACTTTCTCATGGCATTCATAATGCCTTAGACTCAAATCCCATAGTTCTTCCTTGTCATGAAAGCCTCCACCAGCTAACAATGAATGAATAATAACATTTGAACCTTCTAAAATATATAGGCCGCATATTTTAGACCCTTTAGCAATAATCAATTCATTATGCAAAATCTTTAACACTCCACATTCAACTCTAGTACAATAGCCTAGATCATCAAACATACTTATAGATAACAAATTTCGCTTGAGTTCGAGAACATACCTCATATTGTAAATAAGAAGTTGAGGAACATTAAACGTTTTAAATCTGACCGTACCAATACCATGAACCTTGCATGCCTTATTATTACCAAGAAGAACTACTCCAACTTGCATCATCTTCAATGTTTCAAAGTATTCTATGACCCAACTATCTTCAGTTTCCAAACTTGATACTACTAGTGCTTTGGCATTCTCATAACTTTCCTCACCCAATACAACTACAGCTTGAACATAATCTTCATTGACCTTTATTTCAGGACAATCACTTTTAAAGTGACTGGTTTTTTGACAATTAAAACATTTTACCTTTGACTTCTCAGACCTCTTTGATTTGGACATCCCTTTACGCTCACCTCCTCCTCTTGACACATTTAAGCCTTCACCACTATCTTCAATCTTCAAATCTTTCGACGTTGAAAATTCTTTGGATTTCACCCTCGCCTGGACTTCATCCAAAGTAATAGTACCTTCCTTACCATAAAGAAGAGTATCATTAAAGTGTTCAAAGGATCTGGGTAATGAACTCAACAGGAGAAAAGTCGTGTCCTCATCATCAATCTTCACTTCAATATTCTCAAGATCATCGATAATCTTGTGAAATTCTATGAGCTGCTCAACTATGGATTTGTTCTCCATCATTTGAAATGAATAGATTTGTTGTTTCAGATACAACCTGTGAACCAAAGACTTTGTCATATACAATGATTCAAGTTTTTTCCACATAGCAACCGTAGTTTGCTCCCTGGCTACTTCTCTTAGAACTTTATCCATGAGGCACAAGATAATGACACTCCTGACCTTATCCACCATCCCGGTCTTCTTTGTCTGTGTAAGCCCGGCAGGCTTCAATGCTTTACTCTTCAAAGCATCGATACAATTCTCATGAATTAAAATTGCTTGCATCTAAATTTTCCACAACCCGAAGTCATTGTTATCAGAAATTTTTTCGATCTGCCATCTACTAACCATGGTGTTCACTTGTCAACAACATCTCTTTGACCCACGCTCCCCGTACAACTTGTTGTGAATTTTTTGTGATTTACGACAAAATTCAATATCAATTTGTGAGGTAAAGAACAATAGCAACCAAAATAAAGGGTCTTTAGAAATAATAACCCGTACGCAGATGATATAACAGAATAAGGCAAGAAAAAACCGAAGGTTTGTTTACCCAGTTTGATCAAACGATCTACTCTGTGGGAGATAGCATCTCTCCAATTCACTATACTCAGAAAGTTGTTACAAGAGATTACATATGAGTTACAAGAAAATAGCCTTCGCCTTCAGGTTCCCAAGAACAACCCTTGGTCTCCATTGTTAGTGAAAACTCTAAGATTGTCACACACCAAGCATATAAGAGACATATATTTATAATAGAAAATACCCAACAAACAAATCCAAAAATCACATGGATCCACAGACCGAATAGAAAAATCCCGAAAACTCGAAAACACTATTCACCGTACGGACAACACAATTCACCGTATGGACGTCACTATGCATTCCTACGTATAGCACTATTCACCATATGGATGACACTATTCATCGACCGCTTTTTTTTCTCGACTTATCGTTCAACTTTCTAAAACTTTTGATTTTCGCGAAAAATGCAATCTCCAAAATATGTTTTCTTTCTCTTCATCAACAAAGGTTTTAAAGAACATTTACAACAATCTCCACCTTGACTATAAACCGTATTAATACCAATTTAACAATCAATAACATTGTTGTTCTCTACCAAGTTGAAACTTTAATCTAATTTAAGCAACCCTTGAATCTTGATCTCGCAACTTGAGTCCATTTGTTCCCAATTACCCTTTTCTGCCTAGGTAATTTAACAAATCTACAAATATGATTTTTCAACCACCCTTGATTCCATCTATTTTCAAATACCTCCCTGAAGGTTTTTCTTCTTTTATTTTGCATTCCTTCAGTCACATTAAAAACATAATATCCAAGGCTAGCATAAACGTCCCTTTGAGATGCTACAATAATCCTCCTTACCTTATCATGAGTAAATGATAATCAGAGATCTCTGTAACCGTTTCCTAACTACTACTAGCATCCATATTAGGAAACTCCACCTCACACTGAATTTTCTCTATTATAGCTTCTTCCAGGTTTCTCCCTTGGTTTTCACTATTCTTATTCTAAAGAAATTCTCTACCAACCAAGTAAGTTGTTTTAACCTCAGCCCTTCCCTAAAATCTCAAAAACAACTCAGCGGTAACATGCATTTGTATCTCTTGATTTCTGCAAAATTCGTTGTACTCCTCTGAAATTTGCTCAAGGCATTCATAATGCTTTAAACTCAAATCCCATAGCTCTTCCTTGTCATGAAAGCCTCCACTAGTTAACGATGAATGAATAATAACATTTGAACCTTCTAAAATATATAGGCGGCATATTTTAGACCCTTTAGCAATAATCAATTCATTACGCAAAATCTTCAACACTTCATTTTCAACTCTAGTACAATAGCCTAGATCATTAAACATACTTATAGATAACAAGTTTCACTTGAGTTCTTGAACATACCTCACATTGTGAATAAGAAGGAC